TTTAACATATTACTGCAATAGTCTTATAATATTTAGATACAAATGCATTATGGTATTCTAATATAATGAAATTAAGGTATTACACCATTACAACATTACATTATAATGATATTTCAGCACTATAGTATTATAGCAAAACAAATAAATACAATATTTTTTATTATTAGAATAAGAGTTAGATTTAATATTAAATTTAGAAACAAATGTATTATATAGTAAAATTTTATAAGGAATTTTTTTTGTTAAAGCATCAAAAATAGTTTTATAAGCAAAATTTTGAGATTAATTTTTTTTAAAAAATTTCTTATTTTTGTTATCAAAATTGTTTTGCATATTACACCTAATCTTGAATTCTAATTGGATTGGTGAAATTCACCACTGGTGAGTATTAAAACCATCCTAATAAAAAATAAAAAAATAAATTTTTATCTTCATCATGTTTGTATGTGGTGCAGTTTTTTATGCAGTATTTGTTCTGCATCATGTTTGAAAAGGCATCAGATTGAAATACATATCATGAATATAATAGTGAGACAAAACAAACAAAACAATAAATATTATATTGTTTGCATTCTTTTTAATTTAACAATTATAGAGATTCTTTAATTCTCACATCGAAATATCACCAAAAGCAAAATCAATAAAACAGCAAAATTTTTTAATTAATAAATATTGTATTATACTGCATCAACACATGTTTATATTTCTATTATTGAGTTAAAGATTAATATAAAAGATTATTTTAAGTAGTATATTGAATAATTAATATTGCACATGTGAACTATGTGAATTGGATATATTATTGAAAAGACTAATATATATATTAGTGATAGGCATATCAGCAAAAAATAAAAATAAATTTTTTATGAAATTTTAATATAAAGTACAAACTTCTATAATTAAAATACTAAATTCTAACTTAAAGAGAGTTAGAATGATTTTATAATACAAACTTTCTTATCCTAACACTAACTATAAAGAGCTATTAGATGACTATTTTATCTTATTTACAGTATATACTGTTTCATATTACAGTGATGATTGGCTAAAACTCACATAACTGCTGTCTTCTTTCAAGATAACAATAGGTCAGCAGATCGAAAAGACTGCTAAGCAATGACGCATTAACAAGCGACGATCACATGGGTGATCTGACTCCAACAAGAGAATACGGTATATGTAAAGGGGAAGATAAGTATAAATTTAATGAAATTGCTTTAGGAGCTTATGGTGTGAATACTAATATAACCACAGCATTTATAGAAGTCAAGAATATATTTGGGCTAGCATTTGAGCATAAATTTAGAGAAGGTGTGCACTTATATAGAGTGCACTTAGAGAGGTCTGACTGTATATACACTCTACCCTCATTATAACGGACCCTTCGGGCTGAAAGTTTTGTCCATTATGTCCATAATAAATAAATATCTGTTATAATGTTGTATAATATAATATAATAAGGTATCTGCTATATCAGAGTCCGTTATAACGAGGGTACCAATTGAAAATCGATTAATCACTTAGCTGACAACTAAGTGATTGAGAGTTTTTGAATCAACCAACTAATCAATTTAAAAATTTTTAAAAATTTGTATTACTACTTGTAGATATGAACTGGAAATCTTCTCAGGGCTCATGCATTAATCTGTTTAACAGTAGCAAATCAAAAAAAGAAATTAACAGTGTAGTTGCGTCAGAACGAAACTTTTGCACGTAATAATCTATTGTATACCAACCTTCAAGGCAAGATTTCAGTTTATACTCTTAATGAAATAAATGAGCAATATCAAAAGGCAGCCTGTGCAACTGTACAAGATCTTTTTCAAGGACTATGGGTTTGCCGTGTGCTCACAATATCCAACAATTAGATAATAGCCAGTGCCTAAGTCTTAATAATATCAATAAGTATTGGTGGATACAAAAATTATACAGCACCAGTTGATGAAAGCACCTTTCTTCGTAAAGACTCTCTGCAACCTCTCTTGCAAAATTTCCAGGAGATGTATCAAAATTGGCCAAAAATTCAACAAAAGGCAGCACAAGAAACATTAACCAACCAAATCAGTATTCCAATGATAGTTTTACAGGACCCAGTAGTGGTATCTACAAGAGAACATCCTTCTGGTTTCTCTAAAATCGAATTACCAACTCAACCAAAAGAGATCCCTCCGGATTCGAGTTGGAAAAAAAATGAGGCAGTGTACTATTTGCCATTAGTCTGGGCATAATTCTCATACCTGTACACTAAACAGAGATTAAAACTCAGATTTTTAAGAGATTTAAGTTGTATAAAATAAATTACTTGACTCTGTTAGTTCAAATATTCAATGTAACGGTGATTAATTTTGCTTATGATTAACTTATTTCTGTTAAACTAAGTACTCTTTAAATGTAATTATATTCAATTTTTGTTTGCTGAAAAGCATTTTATGTAGAATTAGGTTAGTAATCATAAAAATACAACGATCACATCATTACGAATTGTTGAATAAAGCTTTAAATAATACTTTCCAACTTTGAGATCAATAACCTTTTTATTTAAAAATAATATTTGATTCTCTACGTTTATGATTGTGTATTAGATTAGAAGGCATAGCGCTAGAATGTAAAAATGAAGGCTTTGATGTTAAGGTTAAGGTTACTTACATGTTAGAAATCTAATTGGCTATCTTCATGTGAGCGAGTGAAATCGGGGATCGACCACATCATCCAATCATGAGGCGATTTTATTACATGGGGTACGAATATCTGCCGCCAATTTAAAATATATATGTATAAATATATTTTAAAAATTATTTCTTACTAGTATTAGGTTCCTTTCCTAATTCAGATTCTTTCGCACTACTATTTCTGAATCAGGTTCTTTCGTACAACCAACATCTGATTCAATTGCTGTAACTTCAAGTAAATCGGGTAATTCTAAACTATTAATTCTTAAATCCACTTCGAAACTTTCATTTAATTTTGGATCCCGTTCTTGACCTAATTTTAATCGTATTTTCAACATATAAATAATATAAACATATAAAAATTTTTACTTTGATAATTCTTCATACATTCTCGACAAATATATGCATTCTCGACAAATATTAATAATATCTTGGTCGCTTGGAATCCTAACTTGAGATTTATTTTTAAACCAGCCGACAAATTCTTGGTCATATTTAACTTTTTTAATAGCGGCACCTGTTCGAGTAATATATTTGTTATTAAAGCCTAATTTATATTCGATTCCTTTTTTACAGTTTTTTTCATAAATTTCCGTACAAATAAGCACACCAACAAGCATTCGAACAAAATTTTAAATCGTTGACATTATTATTATGACAATCGTAAAATGATCATTATAATACAAAATAGCTTTTATTAATTATTTTATTATACGGATCATGCCGAATCAATAACTTTACCGGATCAGCGAAAAATCATTCGGGTAAATTTTCACAGGTGTCCCAGGAATTATGATAATAGCTGTAATAAAAAACCGTACAGAATTTATAATTGAATTAATTTTCTTGTTCGAATTGAAAGTCTTATTTATTATAAATAAGAAATATTTATATAGATTTTGCCTACATAAAAAATAGTTGAAAATTTACATAAAGTAAATTAAGCATGATATACATATGTGAAACGATATAGACAGCATAGCGGGCTTCCAGAAATTAGCTGATTTTGGGGTGAGTG